GATTTATCCAAGCTGGTGAGGCCCTTTTTAATGCGTGTGAGTACGCCACAGTCCTCATATTGTCCCCTACCTTTTTTGAACCGTTTTTACTTAGGCATGTTTACCTCGTGGTCATCCACGTGTCAACGCAACCATTTTGACGTTAGAAAAAGTATATCCGATGAAAATTTACGCGCAGAAGACTTGCCCTTATGAAATATTTAAAGGGTACCCTGTGCATTTGTGTACTAAAAACGTATTTGCTGTTTAGCCGATATTTTTGTTCGTATTCGAAACGCTCTCTTCTAGGTCGATTGCATGCTCATGCGAAACGAGTAGGGCCAGAGGGATAATCATACTGTTTCCTTTCCCTAAACCTGTCCCTCAGACTAGTGAGACTTTGGCGCCTTTGTTTCGATCCGCAGGTGAAGATTTTGGCCGTTTTTATTCTTAATGGGTCAGTCTTCCTGGCTACAATTTATAAAGTATTCAAAAAACATTATTTGACGCGTTGGCACATGTGTAATCTGTGGTAAATTTTGGCCACCGGGTTATTTCTCCGTTTCTGTATATAAAATTGGTAAGAATGTTTTGTTTAGAAGTTAATTGCAATGGCTTCATTTTGTGAGAATAACTATTGATGGAAATAGTGACGGTTGTCTTACGTACAACCTGCACGCCCAGAGCTTGCCATGACCAACTGCTACGTATATACGTTCATATATTTGCGCTTGCTATCACTTCACACACTACCCATTCCCCGTGCGGACACAACTCTCATCAAGCTCCAACCAGGTGATTAATATCAACATCACGCCCCCTCGGCTATGTCCATGAATAATTGGTGGTTTACATACCATCCTTACCTGCGTGTTGTATTCTGACTCCTCCCTATATAAATGTAACGGCACAAAGTCAATTGATTGAAAAAAAAACATATGATCAGCAGATACTCTTTTGTATTTTAAAACCATTTGTCTTATTGGTGGCCATTTTGCTTTCCTCAAAGCAGTGGTTGGTGAACAGCTATTGTGTTACGCACTGCTGACGGCGGCACAGATGCTGCTTGTCTATATGTTCACGTTGTTCAATTTGTTTACACTCCGGCGAAGTCCATGGCTCAGATCATTATGGGTCGCAAGTGAGAGTTCCATTGTGGGAATGGATACCGGTGTTGGTGCTTTGTGACCTACCAAAAGTATCGTATGTGATGGTGGAGTACGTGAACTTTCTTTCATTAAAATTTCGAGTGCCTGTGTGAAATATGCACAGGCAGAGATGCGAACGTTCGCACATCCGTCATTCCACGCAAACACATCCGCTACGCCGTTTTTTGAAGAAAAGTAAGAGTCGCAGTATTTTTTCACATCCAGATAACCGCCTGGTGCAGAAGACGCATGTAGGGTAACTGTCGGCACGTAAAGAGTGCCTAACAT